GGGGCATCGAGCGCTGATTACAATGCCCCGGCAGAGAAGTCGCCGTCGCCGTCGCCGTCGCAGTTGCAGCGCAAAATGTGCAATGTGCGTGAGGGGGGGGGGGTGGTAAAAAAAAAAGAAAATGGGGGGAAAGAGGAGGGGCTTGGTTGGTTGCTGCCCCACACAATGCAATATATTTTCGCTTTGGCATTTGTTGCGTTTTGGCAGCATTTTTTGTTGTTGACTCTTTTTTGTATTTTTTCTGTTTTTTGTTTATTTGTTTGGATATCCGCTGCCTCACAAAAATCTTTTTTTTTTTGTTTTGCGGTTTTTTTGTGCATTGCATGATTGACAGTTGCCAGGCATTGATGGAGGCTTAGAGTGGCGGTGGGCGGGGCACCGAGGGGAAGGGGAAGTTGGGGGAGGAGGGGGCGAATGCAATACCTAAATGCATTCAGTCAAAAGTTGTGCGAAAGCCTCCGAATAAAAATATTAAAAAATATATGTATATTCCCGGCATATATGTAGATATACCAACGTTAACAAATCCATGTGCACAACGACAGTAGAGGTGAGAATAATAGCGCTCTAAATATTAGATTTCGCTTTCGTTTTTGAAGTTTTGAACTTACTACAAAAGTTACCCCTTTTGATTGAGGTTTGAGAATGTTAAGATTACAAATAATTACATTTTAATCATCAAAAGTGATGCTTAAGGAATTTATTAATGAATTGATTTAATAGTTTTACTTTGATTAGGAACAGAACAAGTGGAAACTAATTTTTGATGAAGACTATAGTGCAATTTATTAATAGGATTATAAATGAATTAAAACCAGTAATACCAACTATTTCATTTAACCTTCTTCCCCGGAAATCCTTTAAGCAATTACTTGGACAAATACACCCCAAATTAAGCACGAAATTTGGAAATTACTGGCACTTTCGTCTGCACTCCTAGAATTTCCCCCTCGCCTGTCCGAACGTTCATATTACGCATACGCAACGTAGACGGCAAACAAACAACGCGAATGCTGACAAGGGCAGGTGGTGGGGCTGCGGGGAGGGAAGGCGCTGGTTGCCAGGGGGTTAAGGGGCCCAAAAGGGCCTCAAAGGGGGAGGGGGATGTTGGGGGTACCGACGGTTGGGGGTCGACTCATAAAATGCAAGCACAGCAGCGACAGTTGAGAGGGCCCGCCTAAAGGTATGCTATGAAAAAATTGCATAAGAGCAGCAGCTCGCAAAAGCGAGAGGCAAACACAAAAAAAAGGGAACGCATTTGTTTCAAAATTAAATACTCATGTGTGTGCCTGTGTGTCTGTGAGTGTGTGTGTGTGTAGAAAAGAAAGCAAAAAGAAAAAGAAAGCAAAAGTTGTTGGTTTTGTGCGTTGATTTTCTGTTTTGGTTTTGTTTCACTGCAACTTCAGCTCCCCTCGTTATAATCATTTCCCCCAAACCGCTGGCAAAGTGAAAGAGCAGCGGTGAAAGGGGCAAGGAAACGGGGGAAACGGGAGAAGCGGAGAATGGAGAACGGAGAAAGGAGTGCAAGGCAGCAAAAAAAAGAAAGTGTAAAAGCAAAAGTATTTATTATGCGGCAATGGCTTGGAGAGGCCTACAAGAGGCCTGCAAAACATCAGAGTCAACGAATTGCACCGCAAACACACAAAAAAAACTGAATTAGTTGTAAGCAATAATTTTCAAAATTTTAAAAACATAAGAAATAATAATCCCTTACTTTAAAAACCAGTTCTTAAAAAGATGGTTAGATAAAATATGGAATATAAAAATTGGAACGATGCTGAACATAATAAATCTCTGTTAAATTGAACTTAAAGGGAAGTAAACCTTTCGGTTAACTAAGTTAATTTCATGAACTATATTAGTTCCTTAAATATATTTTCTTAAATTTATATCAAAATTTGTTCTGTGCAACACGCAACCGACCCTCACACAGATAGTCGCACACACATACCCACACACACAGACGTAAACGACGTCAACGTCCGCAGACTCGAGGCGGCTGCCACTTTTTTGTTGCCTCCTTTTGGGCTTTCTTTTTCCCAAGCTTTCTTTTTTAGATAAATTTTTATTTGAATTTATGCATGTGCGTCTCCCAGGGAGAAAGGGGCTTGCGAAGAAAGGGGATTTGGGGGTGTTGAGAATTGAAGAAGAGGTTGGAGATGCATATGCACATATAATAAACACCATGTTTGCAATGCTCCAGACTTCCTAAAAAGTTTTCGGTTACGTTCATTTGGGGGAAGTTATCGAAACGGGGAGCCTTTTGTCTAAAATATTTGGGGTAAATATTCAAACGCTAAAAAAAGAGTTTTAAAGGTTTCTGTGGGAAGTTAGCAAAAGGAATTACTACATCATATATACTGATTTCTCTTTTTATTAATATCAGTTTCAAACTCGTGAAAGTCATTTTTTTTTTGGTTTCCTTGAAAATGAGCTCCTGAAATCCCTTTTTACAGAGAAGAACCTGCAATTGTCATGCATCGCGGGACCGTAACCTTTGGGCAAGTCAACACTGTGCGACTTGCATTTTAATTTTGCAAGCTTTTTTAGGCGCTTCTGGGTTTTTGACAACATTTCCGCTGGCTTGGCCCATCTGGGGCCTGTCATCCAGCTTCTGCCGCCCCGAAATTCCCCCTTAAACTCGTCAAGCGCTGCAACAAAGTGCGTTATGCATATATATATTTTTCTTCTTTTTTTTTTTTTTGCTGCCTTTTTCCACTGCACTGAAGTAGGGAAAAGCGGGCAGAAGAAGAGGCTAGGAAACATAAGAAAAACGACAGTGGCTACTCGTGTTCCTTTTGCTTTCATACTCCTATTTTTTTCCCCACACATTTTTTCGCGTTTATCCCTGTTGACGAAAATTTTTCGCTTAAAAAGACTGCGAAGAAGAAGGCGGAGTTGGAGGAGAATGTAATGTGAAAATATATTTGCCGGAAGCTAAATGTTTTGCCGGGCGGGTACAGTTGTGCTTGTGCCGTGCGCCCAAAAGTATGCATTACATTCATTTTGAATGCGAGCCAAAATTAGTGGAGACAACCGGCGAACGAGGAGGCGAACGCGGAATGCCTTGTTCGCACTGGGGAAAAAATAAATTGAATATCGAGCCACCCACACAGTCCAGGCATTTTCTTAGTTTGTTTTTTTCGGTTTTTTTTTTATTTTGTTTTTGTTGCTTGCCTCCTCTTTGTTTGTCCTGCTGCAACATGCGACAATTTTTCTCATTGTTTGATTTGAATATTTGATTTGGTTTTTATTTTATTTATTTAGCAGTCTCAAATAATAAATGTGCGGACATGGAAAGGCTGTCGGGCAGCCAGGGTACCCAATGCGTATACTCTGTTTTTATATTATTTTTTCAGAAGTTAAAAGAAATTAGTAAGATTCTAATAATAAAAACAGATATAGACAGGGACCAACAATACCGTTAATTCACTTAAAATGAGTTCCTAATAATTGTTTGGAATATATTTAAAGTTAATCACTTTTTCCATAGATATTCGAAATGGTCTTTTGCTGATTGTTGAAAAGTATAACCAACAAAGTAAAAACCTTGTGAATAACAACATCACCTTTTCGAGTCATTTACTTTAAAAGTGTTGTACCTTTGATCAAATCTAAATCACAGGGAATCCCCCTCGTCGAACTCTTTTATGTGTAATTTTTTCGAGAAGGCCTGGACATTGCCACCTCTCTTGACAGCCATATTGAAAATTATAGTGTCGTAAACATGCAACTGCAACAACAGCATTGGTGGCAAATAAAAAATTAAATTAAAATAGAAAGGAGCGGAGGGAAAGAGAAGGGAACGGAGGAAGAAGGACCTCGAACAGAACATGGCCAGTAAATAAATAATACAAACAAAAAATTCCAGGGGAGTAGAGAAAGAGGGGCGGAAAGGGGGCGGGGAGGGGCACAAAATTGCAAACGGAAATTGCCAACAATGTGTGGCAAGTGAAAAGTGGAAGTGGCCCACAAAACGAAGCGATAAAAAGTCAACTACCATCGAAATAAAACCAAACACAAAATTCTATCAACTGTGCGAAAACTTATGGCATAGAGTGTTTAGGTGTGTGAAAGTGTGGGAAATTTACAGAGCGATATTTACACACATATATATAGATATATATATATACGACAACAACAACATTGATTACATACACATAGTTTTGGATTAACTAACAAAATTACATAGACACTTATCGATAGACATTTAGAGGGAGATAGAGTGTGTGAAAGAGCTATCTAAAGGTAGAGAGAGACAGATATATATATATAGAGAGAGAGAGAGAGCGCTACACATTAAACAAATTATATTTACTATATGGAGCTAGGAAACTGAACAACTAACATTTAGTATTGTTTTTGTTTTTTGTTTTTTGGTATCTCAAATTACTTTAAAGGTTTTTTTTCAACTGAATAGAAAAAAGAAAAACTTTCTTAGGTTGGGAAAAACTTGATATGTATATAGGGCATAGATATAGATAGATAAGATATATATATATATTTATATAGATATATATGTATGGGTTATATATGTATAAAAAATTCATAGACAAAGAACACGACGAAGAGCAAAAATATATGTTGAGTTTTGATTTTGTTTTCTTTTGCATTTGTTTTTGGATTTTGTATTTTGTTTTTTTGGTAATTAAGTATATAAATATGGCATATAGAGTTATATATAAGAACAGACAGAGAGAGAGAGAGAGCAATACTTAATATGGAGAGATATACATATAGAAATGGAGTCGGATCGAGCCAGATTGGGATCAGATAGATCTCCTTAGCGAGATGTATATCTCGGAATTCGTATTTTGTAACGTATTTTGTTTCGTATTTGACCTATCGAAGCAGCAAAAGCATTCACTGAAAGGGATCTCCTGGGACTGGAGTTTCTTTTCGAATTTTGGCAGGGGTTCTTCTCGAATCGTTTTCGGGGATTTTCAGGGGGTGGGGAAGGCTGGGTCAGGGCCAAAACTATCGCCAAATTGCTGACTTACCGACTCGTGGGAGGCGCGGTAGTCAAGGTCGCCGCCCAGGCCGCCGCCAGCTGATGCCGAACGCTGTTGCATGTGTCTGCTGTGACTGCTGTTGTCGTCCTCGCTGCAATCGATCTCCTTCTTGAGGCTCTGAGGGGAGGAAACAAAATTAAAAATTAGTAAGTTAATAAGTGAAAAAACTGCCCCTATACAAGATGGTGTAGCTACAAGTATAAACGCTTTAATGCACAGGGAAATCTATCTACAGCCCAGTAAAGTCTTCCCAATTTGCATTTTTTGCAGAGGATATTATCATTTCAGTCAGAATGTTTGATTTGAGGTATGCCCCTTTAAAATCTGATCAAAATTAAAAAAGTTGTGCACTTTGGAGTAGGGAAGTTTGGTTAATAAAATGAACTAATGATGGAGTTTGATAAAGAATTCAGACCTATTAACCCATAATTTTCTTGGTTTCTGTTTCAGCGATTTTTGTAAGTGAAATTTCAAATAGAAATACTGAATCAGACATCACTTACCAATGGCACCGATTGCACGGGCAGTAGGTTGGCCACCGTTCCGGGACTGAGCAAGCTGGACGAGGAGGCGCCTCCCCTGCCATCGTTGCCGCCGCCGTCGCGGGAACTGCGTGACGCCGGCCTGCCGCCGGATCCGCCAATACTGAGGTCCGAGGCGCCCGCTCCCTGAACCGCCGAGATCGCCGGCGTCGAGCGTTGCGATTCCATGGCCGCCGCCGCCGCCGCTGCTGCTGCTGCTGCAGCCGCTGCCGCCGACGAAGAGGGAAGCGTTATCAGCGGCGAGGGTATCAGCGTGGAGCCAGTGGACAGGTCCACTCCCCCGCCACCCGCTCCTCCGCCACCAGCGCTGCCGCCGCCCATCTTCATGTTGAGACCCAGATCGTTGCTGCTGTTGTCCGCCTCGTCGTCGTCGTCCAGATCCATCTCATCGTCGTAGTCATCGTCGAGGATCTCGCTCTTGGCAATCACGGGCATGGCGTCCTCGTCATCCGAGTGCGGATGGTGGGCATGATGCGGATGCTGCTGGTGGTGGTGCTGGTGATGCGGCGGATGCGAATGCGAATGCGAATGCGGATGCGAGTGCGGATGGTGTTGCGTGTGGGGATGATGCAATCGTTGGAGGCTTTGGTGGGCCAACCGCTGGGCAATTCCTCGGGCCATTGCGGCATTCACCACCACCACATCGTCGTCGAGATCCTCCTCGTCGAGGGCATCCTGCTCCAGGCGATCGTCGGCTGCCTGCCGCTCGTGGTGATCCGCATCCTCGTCATCGTCGTCGTCGTCGCCCGCAACCATGGAATCCGCTGCTGTGGCGCCACCGCCGCCGGATGTTGCAGTGCCGCCATTGCTGGCCGCTGATGTTTTCCCACTGCTGGCATTGTTATTGTTGTTGTTGTTACTGCTTGAGTTGTTGTTGTTGTTATTGTTGTTGTTATTATTGTTGCTATTGGTGTTGCAGGTGCTGTTGCTGCCGCTCTGCGTTGCCGTTGCAGCTGCCGCCTCGGTTTTTGGCTCGACATTGGGTCTTTGATAGAGATCCAGCGGCATGGGCGTGTCCTCCTCCTCCTCGTCATCCTCCTCCTCGTCCTCGCCGCGCTCCCTCAGCAACGTTTCCTCGTTCTCGTCCAGCTCGTCCGCCTCCTCCATATCGACTTCGTTCTTCAGACTGCGAACGAGCAGCTCCTCGGCCAGCAGATCGTCCGCCTGCTGTTGCTCCCTCTCCCGCTCCCGATCCTCCAGCGATTCGTCCTTGTCCGCCGGATGCAGACGGGAGGAGCGCTTGGCGGGCGTGGGACTGCAGCGATCGCTGGCCTCTCGCTTCTGGACGCCGCTCGATGATGAGGTTGCCTCCTCCGAGAGTGCAACACCGAATGTTGCCGTCGTTCCCGAGGATGTTGCTGCCGTCGATGCTGATGCTGCTGCTGCTGCTGTGGCACAAGTTGCTGCTGCTGCTGCTGCCGCTGCTGTTGTTGATGTTGTTGTTGCCGCCGTTGTGGTTGTACTACTGCTACCGCTACCGCTGCCACTGCTGCCGCTCCCCGCCGCCGCAGATGTTGCCGCTGTTGCCGCCGCAGATGTCGCTGAGGTTGAGGTCGATGTTGCCGCCGCCGCTGTTGCCGTTGCCGTGGCAGCCGCCGCCTGTGTCGCCGCTGTGGCATCCAGCGCGGCCGCCGGACTATCGGCCGCCTTGTGGGCGGACCCGCCGCTACCGCCGCCGCCGCCCTGCGGACGCAAGCGGTCCGGTTCCCGCTCCGGTTCGCGCAGCGTCGTGTTCTGGTTCGTCATCTCGGCGAGGCCCTTAACCTGAAAAGTTTGTGAATAGTTTATTAAAGTGCATACAAATAATGAACACAAGGTTGCAATGCTGCCAACTTCATAAAACACTTTTTTTTTTTTTAACTGGAAGGTATATGCTAAGCTCAGACATTTTAGGTAGTTGAAAAATTAGTATTATTATTATTATTAAAGGTTGGGAAACAGTTCAAGTTTACTTAAATTATGCAAAGAGTTTGTATTATTTGTTTTCTTTTGGTACAGTTTCCACCACACAAAAGCTGGCAACACTGGTCGCTCGGGGGATGGAAGTAGGGTTACCAACCTTGAGGGATTCGGCTGTCTTGAGCAGCGCGGACAACTGACAGTATTGCACGTTCACCTCGCCCTTGTACATGAATTCAACTAAGGTTTGCAGCTCGGCAAAACGGACGTCCTTCAATATCACAATTGGATGTCTTTCGGGGTGCTCCAGGAACAGGCTCTGGAAGTACGAGGAACAAGCCGAGAGGACCACCTGAAATAAAAAATTAAGTGCTTAGTAAATAATTAACCCAAAATATGTGAATAAAGTGAAGTGAAATAACATTTAGCATATTCTCTAATTGAACTGGCTTAAAACTATAAAGCGTTACATTTGATAAGAGTATGAGAATAAGGAATAATCAAACGATATTTTATTTGCCCAGAAAAACTATAGAAAATCCTTAATCAAAACACATCCTGTTGCACTTTCGAAATTCCATTATATAACCCACATACCTATTGTGGCCTAATAGTTTCACGTCCTCCCAGCGAAATCTATAAAAAAGCCAAGCACCTCTTCTCAAGTGTTAAGTATTTAAAAAAATGCTCTTTTTTTAATTTTGCGCTTTATCAGTCCATCATCTATGCAGTTCGCCAAAGGAAAGTCGCATTTTCTACGCTTTTTCCCCTTGAGCTTCGCGTTGCTGCGGCAAGCATTTATTAGATTTACGATCTGGCTCTCAAACGCAGCCACAAATGCCGCTTTTGAAGATGCCACAAACGAGCGATCCGGAAAAGTTTGGAGCCAAGGGGGAAAAACCGGGGAGGGGCAAAAAAAAAAGGAGCGCTGCGATGGGCGATTCAGTTGGAGTTCAATTTGGAGTCCAGTTCTTTTTTTCCTTGGTTTTTCTTATTTTTTTTTTGCCAGTTGGCTGCGGGCGTCAAGGCGTGAACATGCCACGAATGACAATGCCACAGCAACTGCAACAGCGGCAACACCAACAGCGGCAACATCAGCAACAGCAACAGCAGCAGCAACTTGCAACTTGCAACCAGTTCCGATCCGTTTCAGCATTGCTGTCGATTTTTATGTGCGCATGCACGCCTTGGGGTATGCAATGAACGGCCGATATATATCCCCACCAGATCGGTGGAATTGGTGGTTTTTGGTGGGGATGGAGGGGGGAGGGCGGAGGGGGAGTGGCGGAGCGACTGTACAGCCATGTTGTAAATTTTCATTGCTGGCAAATTGAAAAGGCGTCGGCCTCCATTTCGCATATAGATTTCGCTATAGCCTAATGAGGTTTTGGCCTAAGACAGCAGTAACCTCAGTTTCAGCGATGTCGGCGTGAGGAAAGTCACGACATCAGGCGATATATCCTTCTTAAGTTTTAGAGAGTTATACCCTTTTTGAGGAAAATAGAAGAAAACATGTTGCGAAGCATTTGGTAGTTTACTTTTGAAATAATCTATATAAAGCAATTCGTATCCAAATGAAATCTATTCATATTATTCTATCTTTCTTTAATAATGTTTTTTTATTATTTTTATATATTCCAAAATGATAATTTATGTTTAAGATGCAGAAATTGTAATTCGTTATGAACTTTAGATTTCACTGGTTTCCTTTCAAACGGAATTTACATTTGCTAAAGTACACTTTAGACTGCAGGATAAAAAGCTCGTGAAAATGTCAAGGTGCTGGTGATGTCATCTCTAGCACCTGCTCCTTTTGCCACCCCCCACCCCTCCCCCTTTGCAGCGCCTCCTGTCACGCGCCGTTTGCGCTAGAATTTATTTAAAAAAATGCAATCGGCCTGCACACGCCCCCAAATCGCAACAACAGCGTAAAATGAGCGTTAATAAATTCACGCGCATATTAGAAGTCAGGAGCGTGGGGCTTGGGGTTTGGGGGTCTTTGGGGGCCGGCAAGTCCTGAGTCCAGTCTTCGCAGTCTCGCAGAAACTCTTTCAGTGGCATTAAGAAAATCGAATTTCCTGATTACAAGAGGGGCTTGGCCAAAAACGCGGGGAGGTAAGGAGACAAGGGGGACCGAGGCTGGTCAACAGAGGGTGGCTGGGGGGAGGGGGCAAGGCGTCGCAAATTGGCAACACTTTTAATTGAACGTCGCTGCCGGTGAGGAAGAGGAAAGGTAAGAAGCAGCCGAAGCGGGGGAAGAAAACGCCCCCAAAGCTAATGAACGCCAAAGGCTTTGATTTCTAACGCCACGGCCCAGTTAGTAAACATTTTCTGCTCTCTTCCTATATTAAAAAAAAAAAAAAAATAGAAAAAGAAAATCAAGAGAAAAAAAGCGAACGTTGCATGTAATTTGCGGCAAAATAGTCAACAACATAAATTTTCTAAGCCAGAGAGAGAGAGAGAGAGAGAGAGAGAAAAAGAGGTGGCAAGAGGTGGGCGGCGGGTTAACCGATCGCATGTCCCAAGTGGGCGGCAACCTTTCCAACCGAAAATTTAAACAGCAGCCTCGGCCTGCGCAAAAGAAATTAAACTAAATGAACGGGGAAATATCTCCCAATTTGGCTAGACGCGAAAATTCCAATTCCAATTACGCATGCGTATAAATCAAAGGAAAATACGAGTGGGCGCCAGGGAAATTAACTTTCCTGCCCCAAGTATCTGGGCGTTATCTCTGCATTCTTATCTGCGATCTGCGATCTGGGATCTCTAGCTCTCTCTCTCTCTATTTTTCTCTTCTTCTGGCGCACTTCCAGATGATCCCGTTTTCCCAGTCTGATTTTTGTAGATACACTCGTACCATTAAATGGGTTTATGTCTTTCTTGGCACGCACCTGCCAAATTGAATATAGTATATAAAATATTCCTGATCTTTAATTCTAGGTCGTTTGAGGTTCTTGTTTTAATATCATAGTTTGTACTAATAGTTCTTTGGGCAAAGCTGCCTTGGAAGATCCGAAACTTTACTTAACCTTTTTTAGAGTCGCCTCTTGCCTGTTGCCCAACTTGGGTGTGACGGGTGATTCTGCTGGCGTTTCTGTTCGCTGCGGAAAAGGTTAACATTTCTATTATGGGGGGCACCACTCCCTTTTATAGATGTTTTTGTTGCTTGACCACCATCAGAGAACCCAACAACAGCAACAGCATACGATACAACAAAAACAACAACAAGAACAACTGGCGAACACTGCGGCGAAATATGCAAATTATTATGTTTGCATATCGCCGCCTTGCTGGTCCTTTTTTTTTGTTTTTTTTTTTTGCCAGCAATTTTCTGTGTGTTTGTGTGGCGCTTGCGGCTCTTTTTATTGCTGCTCTACCTCTCCTCTATATATATGCATATATTCCGATTCTTCTGCAGCTTCTTCCCCTTCGATTTTCACTCGCATTTATGTCTTAATACAATTTGCCGGGATTCGCTAGGAATGCAATCCCGAGAAACGACTACTACTACCTGATGATAGATGATGGATGGTGGATGATGATCCCCTGGGATCATCTGGCCAACTTTCCAACATTGTGATTAGCTTTTCTGTCCGTCGATTTCGCATAATGTGTGCAAATTTATATAATTTACCCTGATGGATTATCGTTATCGATTGCTTTTCCCTGCCGATAATTGTGTGTGTGGGCAATTTAATTTTATTGATTTTTCCGATGACAGGCAGAGGCTTACAAAACTGTGATTATCGATTGATTATCGTTTGATTACATCTATTAAAGTGTATTTAATTAATAAACAAACACAAGAGATTTTGCTAGGAGTTCCGTATTGAATGCCAACTATTTTCAACATAACTGATTCACAAGAGATTTGATTTCATGATTTCTCAGGTAAGATTAATCGTTTCAAACCTTCAATTCTTCTGTTCCTCAAATGTTGTCTTATTTTGTGTATACATATAGTATAATTAGTATTATTTTACACTCAAGCATTCCTAAAAAGAATTTGCCTTAATATTTCCTTTAACTTTTTTGGGCACTCATGTGCATTGTATATCTATCATAATATTAATAACAATTATGCCGCATCATCTGCTTGCCATTTTTGAAGCAGCTCAAAGCATTTCAGAAACTGATTAATGGCCAAGACCCGGTAGACAAGTAGCAATAAAAGGGGGAAAAGAATGGGAGAGCAAAAAATAAAAGAACACAATTTTATTTCAAAATATGGCATTTCTAATTTAACAACTGCGCTTCAAAAATTGCGTTTTTTTTATACCGACACTGCCGTCTTTCTTTCGCATGCCTGCCATTTAATTATTTTCTTAGAGCTCATTTTATGGGCTCCAAGGGGTTCGAGGGGGAGTGACGAGATGATGGAGTGGAGCGGAGGGGGCCGGCCGAGGGGGTGGGGGAGCGGAGCGCAGACGGCGGCAGCAACACATCACAAGTTGACCTTGATATTCGCATTCGCAGCGGAACCGCACAACTTGCACACCAGCACAGTGAACGAACATAGATACAGCCGGGGTGGAAATTTAAAACCAAAGATAGGCTTTTCTATTTTTCGTAGGCTAAATACTTCAAAAAGTGGACTGCACTTTAAAAACTTTAAACCGCCGAACAAAATATTCGTTGAGTTTTAAAATAAAACCCCCAAATAGCATACCTATTTCACTGACCACAAGTGTCCACACACTTACCCCAACACACACATACACACACGTGCACGGCATTAAGCAGAATCGTCGTGAAGAAGAGGAAGCCGAGGGAGAGGCACACGCAACGCAGCTTTTCAAAGCTCCACAATAGTTGTTGTTTTTATTGCCATTTGATTGCACGAGGGAGGCGAGAGCGAGAGGGAAGACCGTCGATCGCGGGCGCTAGAGCGAGACAGACGTGGCGATAAGCGTTCGCGCATTGCGAAATGAAGAAAAAAACGCAAGGGAACACTCGAGTATAAATAAATAAATAATGCGAACTGGCAGGCACCTACACACAAAATGCGAAGATAAATAATTTCGAAAATTATCTCATCAAAGTGTGCCGCTGTAGCCGTCTCTTTCTAATTACGGCTGCAGTTGGGTGCGTTAATTTCCGGCTACTTCTATCCCTCTCTCCTCGTCATCCATAAATCTACCTCGATATTAAATAAAATTTAACATATTGCTTTGGTTTCGGCTCCTTCACATTTTTTGCCATCTTCATTTTCGGTTCTCTGTACGTATGAGTGATTGCATAGACTAAGAAAGAGAGAAGGAGAGCGGGGAAGAAAGGGAGGAAGCGAGACGTCGCTAATGCGTTGACGTTGACCTTGGATGTGAAGTCCAAACAAAATTTGCAAACAGGAAA